CACAAAACAAATTCAAAACACAAAAAACAAATTTGAAACACGTAGAGAACGACACCTAATATTTTCAAAATTTTAACCGTTCCACATATTTCCATATATGTTCCACTGAATTCATTCTTGACTAGCTCTCTTATTTCTCTCGATTGTAATATATTAAAGATACACGGTTTTACATGGAAGTAATCTAATGTATGTGATAGTAATCCACAAAAAATATAAGCAAAGCAACGCTGCAGAACAAATATCCTGACTTCCCGAAACCATATTTCAAGAAATTATACCGGGATTTGAGAAAGTAATAATAACAAAGTATATAATCAATTTGCATCACATTTAACTATTGAAAGGTTCACATGAGACCAGCAGCTACATAATATTGTAAAACTGTCGATAACATTTAAACTACGAATTTGAATATTGAAGCAAAAATAATGTCATTTCATCCCTGGTAAGTCGGTAAGGAAACATTAATACTGACAGCCGTATTAATTTCAATGGAGAAACTCCAAACCAATCCAACGTAACTATTTGTTTTATCCGCGTCACCTTCAAGATATGTATATTCCTTCACAAATCTTCAGGACATATATATTAACTTGATGAAAGGGTTGTTGCAGTCAATTTCTTCACAATATGACATGGTTCCAATCTCTGCTAAAACCAAGCCAGCCACTCTTTGGGCGTCAACTGATATTATGGCCATCTTTTGTAAGTAAAACTTCACAACTTCGAACTTCTATTTTTTCTGGGTTTTCTCACAAATACAGCCCGGGAGAGGATTTGCATAAAAACTCTCTTCCAGCTTTGGGAACTCGCCCGGCTCCCTCATATAAGGGCCTCCAACACGGTTTTCATGGAGCTTTTTGACTTCAGAGCTAAATTTCTTCCATGTGATTCTCCCTTCGTCAAGTTCATCAACTAGTTTTACAAAATTCATCCTGCACTTGAAAGGAAAAGAAAAGAAAAAGATTCTTCGGGTGAGTAGAGTTGTTCTCTATGCCATATTTATACCTTTTTGATGATGCTTCTTGAAATAAATAAACTAAAGTTGCTCAATTACATAGCTAAAAGTAGTGGGGTTTGAATGCTACCTGTCTGGACTGACAGTTTTCTTGAAATTCTCGAAACGCCTATGACCTTGTACTGCCTTGGCCATATTGCCATCATAGGTGTACACAAAAACATCACTCTGAAGGGCGACAACATAATCCAAACCAGCCAGCATATTTTGGTGATTCCTAAAAGGATCTAATTCTTCCTTTGTTGAAAGAGTCAAGTGGGAAAAGATATTTGGGAAACTTGCCGTGAGATACTGCATGCTACCATTTCCAAAAGCTTCACCAGCCACCAAGTATATTCTAGTGTTGGATGGGAAGCCCAGGGCTTTGAGCAAGAGAGAAGTCTCCCTAGGGGTCAAAGGGCACCCACCAAGCTTTCTTCTTTCTACTCCATCGATCTCTTTTTCCTTCCAATGGTTGACTTCATAACGCATTGTGCGGAGTTCATCATCTTCTTCTGTTGTCAAATTATGACTGCATCCAGTAAAAGCAAGCATATCCTTCTCATACCTGCAATCATAAATCTAATGAATCAAAACCAATATTGTAGGAAGAATTTGATTAGCACAATGATAGCCAGTCTTTGGAGCATAACTATTATCACATGGAAGGAAAATATTCACATGATATTTATTCTAATCCAAAAAACCCTACACCTCTTTTTAGTATCCAGAACATTTTAAGATTGAACAGTTTAGACCAATGAATCCAAATGCTTAGTCTCCATCAACGCCTTCAGAAAATCTATTACTTGGACCAAAAGAACCTCAATGAAGAAATGGTGAGTGTATTGCAATGAGGAAAGGTGAAGCCCACATATCTGAGGTCCTCTTAGAAAGCCCAAGTGCAAGAAACCACAAGACAACATATAGAGCTCTGTGTGGCACAGTCCACGATATGGCAGAGTTCCAGGGAAGTTGAACGACAGATGGCGAAAATAGGGGAGGAAGAGGGGTTTTCAATAGTCTTAAAAAATAAATTAATAATAATACAACTAAAGAAATAGCAAAGGAAAAAAAAAAACTAGAATATCTTTAAAAATAAACCCTAATTGGTTTTTATTAAAAGTATCTAAATTTGGCAAACCTTTCATATAATATCTAATATGATCTCCATCGCAAGGTCTTTCTTTTTCTACCCTCGATACAAAACTAAGAATTATGATCTTAAATAATTTGTTCACTCTCTCCAAACGCCTGCTATTATGGAGGCTGTTGCAGTGTTTGAATCAATAAATCATAGGAAATAGGTATGACCAAGATCACGGTATTAACCCTTTTTATTCTAGAACACTTTCAGTAAGCAAATAGGAAGACAGTTCATTGTCAAGGGAAAATATTGGACAGCCATATAATTTGAAGCTTGTTTCTGTCCAGTTCAAATTTCAAATTAAAAAAGAAAATGTTTTGGTGTCTTTCTTTCAAAATAGTTAGAGCTGATTGTGAAAAATAATGCTATGATTCCTGTTGAGTACTGCTGCATAGTTACTGAGAGGTAAGAGAGCAAAACCAAGCAATGAAAGAATTTCACAAAGAAAGTTGCAGTATTGCAGAGAACTAGAATGGATAATGATAGATGAAGTTGAAGATCATGAATCTAACTATGGATTCTTAATTATATTTAGATTGTTGGTAATTCAAATCCACTACATGGCTAACAGAGAAGACACTCTACCTGTGGGTTGCAACTTTTCATCAAAAGATTTTAAAGATAATAATGATCAAAGACCTCATTTTTGCAGTTAGTTTCTAGTCGGCCTATCTTTCTTTGGCACATTTAAAGAAAATATACCAGCACCTGCATTCTTTCATTGAAAATTTTGTGATTAAAGTTGCAAATTAACATGGTTCAAACTGCAAATAATCTGCCAGGTGAGCAAAAGAAAGCAGATATACACGCTATATCCATTACTAATTTAGAATTTTCTGATCATAGATAGGGCGATAAAAGCTCCAAAATGTTCCTTCCAAACTTTTTTTTTTTTTGATAGGTAATCAAATAATTTTATTAATCAAGGGATAACACACAGGAAGTGTATTATAAAGTGTTCCTTCCAAACTAACTATGATACAAGAAGAATATAAACTTACACATCCATATAAATCCTGCCTAGGCATCTTAAAATGGAAAATGCATCCCAAGTGGAAACCAAGATGTTTATAATGGGATGGGAAGTGTACAAACACTCGTTTAAGTGGAAACCACAATGTTTATAATGGAATATAAACCAAATGCTGCTTGACCCACCAAGATGTGCAGTAAGGTTATCTTTTAGCCCAACGGTAAAATACTTTTTGCTGATATCATAATGTTGAATTCAAAATACAGATGAAGAAAAAATAAAGCAATGGTGAGAGGCAAATATAAACATTTCCTTGTTCACTCGGAGAGCCCGAACTTTAAAGGTAACCGCAGGAAAATTATAACATCCAAACGATTTAATGCAGGAAAAACTTGTTCGACCAAAAGCAAACCTCAAGTGCAGGGCAAGATAAGGATTCCCATTCTGCTGCATTCTTGACACCAAAGTTTCTCCAAGTTCCTCAATTGATGCAGAGTACTTTAATGCTCTGTAGTTAACATGGCATCGTAACTTTTGTATAGAACTTGAAAGGCCATTGTTTGCAAGACGGGAATCGGTATGAGTAAAGTAAATCACTTTATGCTGCTTCAAAAGTGGAAGGATCTCTGTTTTGTAGTAACTGACCTGTTATAGGATAATACGCATTAAGTACTACCAGAGATCACTGGAATACAAAATAACGATGTATAATCATTAATGTGTGCAGTGATCGTTTATAACTGCAGCAGAGCTGCAAAGCTCAAAAAGTCGATTAAAAGTAAGCGAAAATCAGACAGAGAGAAAAGATTTAAATCATATTACATTGGCAGACTTGACTTGTTCTTACATCATAAACTTTCACCAAATTTTTTCTTGAAATATGATCAAAATAAAAAGATTGATTGGCAATTTTGAAAATTAATGTCCATATACTGATTGACATCTTCGTTTCTCTCGCATCTCAAATCAAGAACATTATATTAATGTTCCAATTAGAGTCTACCGGATATGTAGCAATAATCTGTAGTCATATTCAACATACGTATTAGAAGGTTGACAAGATCCGTACCTTGGACCAAGATATTGGCGTCTTTGCGAAGGGTTCAACTCCGGCATATTCCAGAGGTAATGCATCAATGACGTGAATGCCATCTTTTAGCGACTCAATGAAGTGTTTCCAATCAAACAGATCTTTAAAGCCACTGGATATACCACAAAAGAGAAATGCCAGATTTAATTAGGAAGCCATGAGAGCTAGTATCAAAGCATGTAAACATGAGCATTGTGCAGCAGGTGTCAGGGTGGGTGACATCAGCAACAGTAGAACAAGGTGTCTGTGACTCTGTGCAAGTACAACAAAAATAAATTTTATAAATCTGAATGTACAAATATAGTTGCCATCTGATGAACGCAGATCACAAGCAAAAGTCAAAAAGCACCTATCATCAGCCCAATATGAAGTGTGATCAAGAGATGGAACAATAAGTGTCGCCTTCAATACTTTAGCAACAGCAACCATATCACAGATCTGCACGCTAAAATTATTTGTTTATCAGATTACAATCAATATAATTCAACACACTGAAACATATGAACATATAACCACCAGACCCCAAATCTCATCTGATTTAAGCCACCATTTGCATTTATTAGAAGAAAACCATTTGTTTTCATGTCCGGCTCTGCAAAAAATTACAGAAGGAAAAATAATGTCAGACAAGTGCATATTTACCAGATGCAATATAAATGCATCGAATGTCTCGCTGCCCTTACTTTTGTGACTTTTTGGCCAATCGATGCACTGTGAGAAATTCTCACTATTAGGCTTGGACCAGATCCCAGAATACTGAAAAAACATAATTTCAGAATTTATAGTCATATTTCCATTTCAAGTCAGTAAAAAATTATATTATAGTACTTACATGAGACGTACTATCGTGGCTATCCACCACACCTGAGGTAACCATCATTAGTGTCCTTTCCAACTCACTTTCTCTGCCCCCTTCATCATTTTCTCCCTCCCTATATCCGTGATAACGAGACCCTTGATTCCTTAGATTTAGATGGGTTCCTGAGGAGCCATACAAGCCCTAGTAGATTTACAACAATAAAGGAAGACAACCAATATGAGCACCCAAGAATTCACTTAGGCTGACAGATTAAAAAGGATATTGTACTCGAACAACAGAGAACTACCTATCAAAATGATTTGCAGTCAAACAAATGCAGAAAATGTTGAACTACTTATGCCTTATGCAACAGGAAATAAGAAATAGGATTTCAAACATGGAACTAACAGGCTAATATTGCTTCCCTGCTCACTACAATATATCATGTCCTTTAACAACTTATATTTTTTAATACAAAATGATGCATATCCCATCAAAGCCCCACTAGTATTTTCCACTTTTTAAAGTGTAACAAGGATCAGTGAGGCTACAGGATATCATCCATTGGCACACAGTGCAAACTGAGGGCACCATCTATGCATGAAAGAATGAATTGAATGATAAACGTTTTGATTCCTCATCTTCACAAAATATGTACATGTGGAAAAGAAAAACAGATGAAAATACATCCAAGACTTGTATTCCTATTCTTTTGGTAATCATTTCAATATGGATCATTCATTCACAACTTTAGAAACTGCTACTAATTTGGCAATTGTCCATGTGAAGCTAAAGCCTAATCTTACATTCGAAAATGAAGTTAATATCAAGTACGTAACAAATTAATCAACAAAGACAAACAAAAATGCCCTTAAAAGAAACCGTGTAAAACAAACTATATTCATCGCAAGAAGTGAGATGAAAAATTAATCGCAAATCAATATGCCAATAGTAGCAAAAAGTTTTCGTAGCAAAAACATTACCAAATTAGCAAATAAACAAAAATAACTAAAATTTTATTTCAAGAAAGTAAAGAAACCTGATTGTATCCAACTCCATCGATAGCAGATCCAAACCACCCAGTAGCACAAATCTTCAATACACCCCAAAATAAACACACCCCACAAAACAAAAAGAACATCCAGTGCCCCAACTTTTTCTTTCCCTTAAACTCTAACCCCAATTCCCCCAAGTCCACACTCAAAGATGCAATCTTTCTCCTCAAATGCACTCTTTGGGCCACACTGCTCACATGGGCAGGCCTCCTTTCACCCATAGTCTCAGGGCCATCTCCAGAAACTGGGCTTTCAGATCTGGGTGAGTTAAGCTGAAGATCAATGATCTCATGATGACTGCTTAAAGAACCACCGTTATTGGCACTGCTACTCGTATTATGAGTGTTTTGTGAAGAGTTTCTGTTGTTGCGCTTGAAGGAGAGGGCTCGGCGGGTCATTGGGCCGGAGAATCTTGGACTGTTGACCCGTTGAGACACGCCATCGTCGGCGGCGGTGATATGGTGGTGATGGTGACTGTTGTGCTGATGACCCATCACTATTTATACATGTACATACAAATATATGTGTTTATATATCAAAGTATATGTATGATTGGGAGAATTGTTGAGGTTAGGAGGAGAAGGAGGATAAAGAGAAGGAAGTAACAGTATTTATCTTTCTCCCCGGGAAAAAAAATCTCTTTTCAATCTGTATCAGTGTCTGTGCCATTTTTTCTTTTCCCGTGGCATTTGTATGTTCTTCATTCGAGTTATAATTCATTTTTCTTAGAACTTGTTATTAATTACATATTTTTCAATAAAATAATTTTACAGTAATCTTAAAATTTTTCTTCTTTAACCACACATTTTTAAAAAAATATATATTATTCCAACTATTAAAATTTCAAATAATAGGACCAAACGAGGGCTTGACTATTTGTAACATTTTTTTTTTCCCTCTTTTATTTCTAGCAATAACAAGTAAATTTCAAATAAATAAAAAATTTCAGTACTAGCTTGAAATCTGTGCATAAGATAAAAGTAATGAAAAGAGTGGGAACTTTCAATTTTAAGATCTATAGTAAAAGTTTAGAGAAGAAGTTCTAAGAAAGAAAAATGGTAGAAAAAGTAAAAAGGAATAAAAGAGTCAGAATTCAAAATTTTCTATTTCGCTATTAAGAGCTCAATGAATGAATGAACTGTATTTGTAAAAAGATTTAAATATGTAGTCAATAAGGATTACATTCTTCATATCATGAGCCTGTTTGATACAGATTCTCATTTTCTATAGTAAATCAATTCTCATTTTCAACCACACATTTCACATCATAGTTCAATTTTTCTTATAAAATACGGTGTGTTAGAATTACATAGTTTATGGCCGAATCTTCAAGCTAAGGGCAAAAACAAAGCACCAGCTAGCAAATTTACAGTACCTACATAACATGTATTGTCATCTTGTCAACCAATCTCCCTCGAACTTTATACATGCTCGGTAAACATAATAAGAAATGTTTTACAATTGTTCTATTCGGTTTAACATTATTGAACGTATATAATTTTTTTTATCAAGTAGGAGAAAAAAAATACTATTTACAAAATTAAAGTATGTAATGATCAGAATTTAAAATGTATTGATTATACTTGTGGTAATTGTCATCACATCCAACAAATACTTAAAACAAATCTTCTCTTTTTAAATAATCAATTCATGTACTTGAGTTTGACCTTCTTCAATCACATAAAGAAATGGAAAGTTAGAAGAATGATGCTACGTGTGCAGAAAAAATTTGACAATTTTTTTTTATAGATGCACACTTGACAGTTAAATATTAGTAGATGATTGAAAAAAAAGCAGTTATACAGATGCTGTCAGCTTAGCACCTCTATGGCTTATGTGAACAATTCCCATGTACAAGGTTCACTCAAGTTAGAAAGATTTGATACGAGAAGAAATATTGTATAATTAACGAAATTAGGAATATTTTATAGTATATAACAAAAAATCATATATCGCTAAAAATCTATCAAGGTTGCCAATAATTTCCAAAATCCACATTATTAATCAAATATATGTAATTGGCCATAAAAAATAAATAATATACTTTTAGAATACAGTTATTTTGAGTTCGAGATCAATGTCTAACTCGAGTGATAAGAACAAAGTCTCATTAGGTGCATGACCTTGGTTCGAATCTTTTACGGGATTATGGTCAAAATTCGGGAAAAATGTATTTTGAGTCCAAAATTATTCATAATCAATTACTTGTTTTTATATGTTATTTAGCTTCTATTTGAGCTCCATTTTATGTTTTAAAAAAAAAAGTTATGTAAATAGCATTTTTTTTTTCGGAAAATACGTAGTTAAAAACTAAAAAGTAAGTAAATTTTTTTAGGTAATGTGTAAAATTATTATATTTTAAAAGCGTGTGCTTGAAAATAAATTTTTTTTAAAAAAATGAATTTTTAAATAATGAAACTCAAACATAGCCTTGTTAAAACAATGTCCAATTACACGCTATGTTCAATCGGTTCATAATCAATTAATACTTATTTTCTATAATGATACTTTATTTTATATATCAAAATTTACATTATTTTTATGAATGGATTGACCATTTAGAAGAATGCTATAGTGGGAATGGGTTGAAACCTGAAAGTGCTTTAAAAATCATGTCATTTTTCTACGCGTTTAGTGGGTCCACAACACTTGCCATATTTTGTCTCTCGAAAGACAAAAGTGAACCAGCTGGCTAACATGCATCTCTCTCTAATTTGTCAACTAAATTTATTCTAATTTCTAGTTGTGGATTCTACAATATTAGATAATTAAAAAGAGAAATGCATCGTGCATTTTTTTTTTTAAAATTTTAATTAGATGATTATAAATTTTAATTTGAAGAGTAAATTCTATCACAGAAAGCTATTGATGATGCTAAGGTGTTGGAAATAAATGAAATTTATAATCACAATCTATTTTAGACGGGTCCCATGTTTAATTAAAAGTTAGGTAATTAATATTCGATATTAAATTAGCTTAACGGGGCATGTAATAATTGAAAAAAAGTTTGAAAATAGAGCTTTATTATATGATTAGCCCATGTCTGGCTCTCCATTTTAATCACATATTTTATGAAATTTACAATTTTTATTAACTTTTTAATAACACATTTTATTAATATTTATCAAAATCTACTAAAAAATTAATTTGTAGCAATAGAACTCTGGCACTTAAGCGTCACACGCCTTAGTATAAAATAATATGATATAATTACCTATTTACCAAACAAACATATATATTGCTAAAAAACACAACTTAATTTGTAATTTTTTTTTTCCCTCTTTATACGGGGCAGTTGCTACCTTGAAATGGAAAAAATAATAATAATATAAAGTGTAATTTTAAAGTATTCTTTCAGTTTTACAATCCAATTAATAGTTTAATGTAGGGTAAATTTCATATGTGAGTTCATCAAACTTTTAGTAAAATATCAGTTTGTCATTAAATTTTAATTTGTCTTATTTGAGTCATTACACTTTACTTTAGTTTCAATTCTACGTTTCCTCATTAGTCACTGTTACTAAAAATAATGTCCAATCTAGTGTGATGTTCGTTGAATGTTGACTTGTTATCACCACAAGAAATACGTTGTGTTATCTTTATCATTCATTACTAAAGATCAGTGTGTGTAAATTTTTGAGATTTTGTTTTGAGGGGAAAGGTTTTCTCTTTCATTAAGAGAAAATAGAGGCAAGTGGAAGACGATTGCACAAAAGGAGAGAGAGATTTGACGAGCAACTTCAATTTCGTATAAAGACAAATGGTGTGACTTCGTTGAATAAGACTTAAATGATGGTTTTATTTTTGCAAGCATATTTCACCATAGCCTCGTTTAAGACCATTTTTCTAAAAAATTATTTTCAACTACATATTCTCTAATAAAATAATATTACATATAGATTCAAAAAAATTTCCTTACTTTTTAACCACATATTTTTTATTAATCTACTATTCCAAAATGAATTCTTTCGCCCAAATTGGGCTCAAACAAAGGCTATATATGATCTAGAATTTGTGAAATTGGGATACAATTTGATCTTTAATCAACAAAATAATATAAGGTTAATTTAGTTATCGAAAGAAAATAGTAAAATTTTATTATTCAATGAAAATAATTATTAATATATGACAGGAATTGACTCACCAATTGAACCATCAGATCATTAGTGGGTTGAACCACTGACCCGTTGACCCGCTACATTTTTTGGGTGAGTGCTCGAATCTGACAACTATGCTCATAACCCATTCCACACGTAATACCTTGCCATGTTAAGAATTTGGAGTTCCATCTTACAAGGTCAATCTTATTAAGAGGAGTAACCTAATCATTTATAAGTTGGTTTATATTTACATCTTTATTCAATGTGGATTATAGCCCTTAACATGTCCCGCAAGATGGTGACTCGTTTGAGCAGACCAATCTTGAAATCCGTATGCTCACTTTTAAAGCTTAATCAGATCGAATTGCTCGTTAGAGCTTAATGGGCTCTGATACAATATAAAAACAAGGAGAATGAAGAATATAGAGCTGAAGAAATTGTATGATTTTCTTGTTTTTGAAGACTGTATAGCAAGTCAATTTATACTATTGTTTTACACTTGAATTGGCATATCTATAGGAGTTTGTTACATTGATGATAAAGAGAAGACCAGAGAAGTAGGACTTTGTTGCGATAACTCAACAAGACTTGGTTGTGCAGCTTTCCTCATTGATCGGTTCATTATGTGATGATCTGTATACCTTAACAACCCCCTTCAAACTCAGGGGAGCTTGCACTCTGAGTTTGTTACGTAGGAATCTAAATCGAGCATATGTCAAAGCCTTTGTAAAAACATCTGCAATCTGGTCTTTGGTGGAAAGAAAATGAACATCTAAATCTTTACATGCAATCTTCTCTCGAACAAAGTGAAAATCTATTTCAATATGTTTTGCTTGAACATGGAAAACCGGATTTGATGTCAGGTATGTGACACCAATGTTATCACACCAAAGAATTGGTACATTGGGAAAAAGACTCCAATTTTCTTTAGTAATTATTGGATCTATACCACTTCAGACACACAATTTGCCAAGGAGCGATATTCAGATTCAGTGCTGGAACAAGCAATTGTGTTTTGCTTACGAGCTTGCCAAGAGATTAGATTATTCCCAAGGAATATAGCATAACCAACTGTAGACTTGCGATCATCTAAACAGCCAGCCCAGTCCGAATCCGAGTATGCAGAAATATATTTGTTCTGGGATTTAGTAAAGAGAAGATCGTGATTAACAGTTCCTTTGAGGTGACGAAGAATCCTTTTGACAGCAAGCCAATGAATAGTTGTCGGATTGTGCATAAACTGACAACCACGGTTAATCAAATAAGCAATGTCAGGACGACTAAGAGTCACATACTGAAGGGTACCAACAATTTGACGATAAACACTGGCATCAAGCAAGGGATCCCCATCGAAACAAGATAATTTTGTAGATGGTGTGCTTGCGGTGCTAATT